TCAATGTAATAAAATATAATTTTTTTTTATTATTTTTATATATTATTAATTAATAATTCCTTATACATCATTTTTTAAAAAAAAATGCTAAAAAAAATTTCTTATAAAATATAAGGAAATGTGTTACGGAATTTCAAAAAATGTATACAAAACTTATTTATAATAATGAAAAAACGTATGCAAATTTTTTATAGGGATGGTCCAAATGGCTTATTAACTAAAGCAGCAGTTGGCACTACAAAAATTACAAATTTTTTTAATATTAGCGAAACTCAATCTACCAAATCACAAATACTTAAGCCCGATATATTAGAAGATTCCTCAAGTGATTCAGAAAGTGAGATTTTTAACCCACATACCTATCAAATAGCTGAAAAAATAAAATATCTCAAAGAACAGTTAGAGAAATAACATAATCAATTAACAGTTGTTGAGTATAATCATAAAAGAGCAATATTTGAATATTTTACCTTATTAAATAGTAATAACGGATGTAAAAGAGTTAAAATCAGCTTAGAAGTTACTCAAAAAATTTATATTAATAGTGGTATATGGAAAGCGTGAAACTCCGAAATCTTATAAAATATTGGTTACTTAACAACAAACTTCCAGCATCTAGACATGGAAAACATCAAAAAATAATTAGAGTAATTGATAATAAAGATGTTACAGAAAGATATCACATTTGGATTCGAAAACAAAATTTCAATATCACACTAGCCATATTTAAAAAATTTGTTGAAGATGAATTGTTTTCTAGTATTAGAATTGCTAAAAAAAAATCCATTGCTTTAATGATTGCAACAAGATGTAAGTAAAAAAATTTAAATATATAAAAGTAAAAATATAAACTATACCTTAAAAACGCAAGAAAATTTTATAAATCAATCTGAAATATAATATTTATAATTGTATTTTATGAAATAAAGGGCTTAAGGTTCTTGGCTATTCATTTTAACAATATCACCGTGGGATATATTATGATAGGCATGAAAGGGAAGATGTTTTACAATATCGAAAAGAGTTTTTAGAAAAAATATTTGAACATGAAAAATACATGTTCAAATATGAAGGTGAATTTATGGATCGAATATGTCCTGACTTATCCAAAGAAAAAAAAAGAAAGAGTTCTTGTGGTTCATAATGAATGCATTTTCTATTCAAATGATAGAAAATGTGGATTGTAAACTAAAAATGGTGAAATGCCACTACAAAAAAAGGAAATAAAAGGTCAATTATGATTAGCGAATTTCTAACTAAAATAGAAAAATATCCTTATGTATCTGAAGAAGCATGATGTTACTTAAAATCTAACATAAATCATAAGGGTTATTAGACGGCAGAGCATCTTCTTGAACAAATTGAATATAAAGCAATTCCCATTTTTGAAGCTTTATATTCAGATTATGTAGCTGTATTTGCTTTCGATAATAGCTCTAATCATGCTGCATTTAGTAAAGATACTTTGGTTGCAAGTCAAATGAACTTAAATTCAGGTGGTAAGCAACCAATTATGCGAGATACTTACTTTGGATCAAATAATCAGCTACAATCAATGGTATTTCCAATAACACATCATGATGAGAAACTTTGAGGTAAGCCTAAAGAAATTAAACAAGTATTAATAAAACGTAAAAAATAACTACCTGGAGGATTAGTATTAGAATGTAATAAATGTAAAGAAAAGAATCAAGATGTTTCAGAAACTTCCTGTTGTGCACGTCGAGTAATATCCTTGGAATCTGATTTTCTTACTCAAAAAGGTATTATTGAAGAGTTAATTGAAAATGCAGGACATAAATGCATTTTTTTTCTTAAGTTTTACTATGAATTAAATTTCATTGAGAGATATTAGGATGCTGCCAAAAGGTATTCACGTGAAAATTGTAATTACTCATGGGAGGGATTACAAAAAATAGTTCCTAAAGTCTTGATTCAGTAACCTTAATAACTATTAGAAAGTTTTCAAGAAAATATTGGCGTTATATGGATCTTTACAGAAAAGGTATTAATGGAAAATTAGTTGAGTATGCGGTAAAAAAATACAAATCTCACAGAAGAATTCCAGAGGGTGTCTTAGAAGAAATTAGATAATTAAATTTTTTTAATACATGCAATTAAAATTAATTTTATCCAATAAAATTAGTTACATGTAATATGTCATGTAAAAATTTCATTTTGAAAATTTTGGACTGATCGACATTTTTGATGAGTTTAGGTATTATACACCATAAATAAGTTTTATTTTTTTTTCTAAAATTCTATTTTTTACTTAAACAACTTAAATGGAATTATAACAACAAGTTAAAGTTAAAACAAAATTAACCCCTTTTCTTCCATAACATCATAGAACCTAAACGATTTTTTCTTAAACATAAGCGAATCTATTTAAATGCATTCTAGGATAGTGAATATGAGTGATTATATTTTGATAGCATTTTTAATAGCATAACTGGATAACACTTTTCGATAGTATTTATGTAACATACTCATTAGCATATTTAGTAGCATTAATCAATAGCATAATCAGATATTATATATATAACATAATCAGAAGCGTGTATATAGCATAATCAGATAGCTGTATATAGCATATTTGATAGCATGTTACTCTGGCTATATGCCTTTACAAATGATGCATAAAACACAATCAGCCCATTAAACTCATGCCTGACAACACATTCACAGGTTATGATATACAATAATTCATTATCGAATTTAAAATTAGAGAATTTAGAATTTTATTTTTTGTTATAATAACTAGGGATATTAAGACAAAGATAATCAGCTCCAAAAAGTTAAAAAACTAGCATTAGTTATATTCTTAGATAAAATTTTACTTTAATTTTTAATATAATGATTATTGATTTTATTGTATTGCTTATTTTTAAATTAAAGGTTATATAACTTAAAATAGCTAAATAATATAAAAATATATATTATAATCTTTAATTTAGAATCCTGATGAAATTTATTATATAATATTATAATAACAATTGTTAATAACTTGACTTTTTTAAATAACATATATTGTTTTATCATTTATCATTTGCAAATGACATTTTTTTCAAATGATATAAATTCTTATATTATTTTAATATTATTTCATATTATTTAAAAATTAGTTAAATGATAATATTATTTGATATCATTGTATCAAATAGAATTAAAAGCTATATTAAATAATATAAATATAATAAAATTAGTTTAAACATAGAAAATTTACTAAGTCTTATTTGCTAAGTATTTTATATTAGGATTGTAATACACTTTAACCTAAAATTTATGAGGTTTCCTTTAATTTTATTAAAAAAATAATTTATTTTAATAAACTTAGAATCACAATAATGAAAAAAATAAAGTTAAATCTTTATAGAATACCTTCCAAAAAATGCAATAAATTTTTTATTAAAATTATTATATCTCTAATATCAAAATCTTTAATTTGAGTTTTAATACTCTATTTAAAAGGATAAAAACCTTGACATTAAGTTAAAGAACTCTTATTAAATCATTATCATTTAGTATAAATACTGCTAAAATTTTTTTTATAATATACTCTTGAGTAAGTCACTCTATAACTTCATATATATAGTAAATTGTGAAAATTTTTGCAGACATTATTATGATTATTTTCTTATTTTTTTACTAAAACTTAAATTACAAAAAAATTTTTTACTATTTTTTTTTAATTTTTTTTTTAATTAAAAATCAAATTATAATTTAAATTGAATTAATACACTTTCATCATTTTGAATGATACTGAAAAAAAAAATTATGATAATGCTAAATAATCAAATTTTATATTATGTAATAATAAAAATAGAATTTATATTATTAGATAAATTCTATAAAAAAAGTGTAAAAAAATTTTTTTGCTTTACTTTTTTATAGAAAAAAATTATGTAAATTAATGACTCTATTATATTATTTTATTATTCTTCATATTTTTTCATAGAAAAATTAATAATATTATTATAATTTTCTTCTATTATTCTTTATATTATATGAATGCATATAGAAAATAAATAAAATAAAAAGTTTATCACTCATTATTATAAAATTTATAATTAACTAAAAAATTAACCTAAAAGATAATGTAATAAATAATAAGTCATTTAATAATATTGCTAGATATATTCTTATTATTATATAAAAAAATATATATTAAATACAAATCTGCATAGAGAGAGATTAGGATATCATAATTTGAAATATCTTGGCAATTAAATTAGTTTTCTAAATCTAATAGATTTGAAATAATTTAAATCTAAGAAAATAAATTTACAACTAATTTTTTTCAAATTTGTACAAGCAGATCCAATCAAAAAAAATATATATTACAAGTATTTTAATGATCTTTGAGTCAAGAACTTCAAAAGAACTTCTAGTTAATTGATATGAAAAGAAATTTATATAACACATATAATAATATGTAGAAAATATAGAATAGGAAAATCTTATGATTTATTTTCTATTTTACAATAAATTAAATATATATATATAATTTTATTGATTAAAATTTTATATATTTAAATAAATAATAATATTTTTTATATACAATATTGTTAATGTGCAAACTTTTTAGGTTGCAACTGTTAGACGCAATGTTAGAGGGTTGACTCTTTTATAGTTCACGTAATAATTCCAGTCAATTTATGATAATCTTGGTTAATTTACTACCAATTTATAGGTTTAAACTAAGTTTATTAGACATAAGCAGCTTCAATCACAAATTGTGAGTTTTTACAGTAAGTTGGAAAAGAGTCTCAGATATGAGGTAAAATAAGAAATACTTTATTAAGATGAAAAGAAAATAATAATATAATGATATATGAGAGAAATAAGAAAAAGAAATAAGAAATAAAGGTACACAAGGTGAAGAGTAGCGTTGCGCTATCTTTTACAAGAGAGGAGTTCTATACAACCGTCGGTTCTAGTAAACAAAAGAGGTTGTATTTATATCTATTCTATTACATATTTTAACATATCTAATATATTAACTATGTTAACTATATCAACTATATTAACTATATTAAACATATCTAATATGTTAGACATATTAACTATATTAAACATGTTAAACATGTTTGATATGTTTGATATTATCGATATTTTGTATTTCATCACACATTTGTAGATCTATGATCATTAACATCATCACCCGATTACATTACTCCCTACTGAAAATTTCTGCTCCTGCAGAAATTCAAAGTTTAAATTTCTAAAATTTGCAAAAAGAATTTTGCAGAATGTATGCCATATTTATACGCGACCTATTAAAGAGGAGCATGCCATATTCATGCTATCCGCAATCGACCTTACCAATATAGGTTTTTCTAACATTATATAGGGTTAAAATTTGTTGAGTTTCAGAATTATGGGATTTAAAATTCTATTTAAATAGCTTG